TAAATTTTGAACAATTTGGTACTATTTTTATCTCGAAAGTCGATACTAACAATGGTGATTGACTGCCAGTGGCATTCAAAAAATACAGTGTCAAAAGTAAACATTTATAAGTTCAGTGACAAAATCGATATAACCATAAAGTTTATTGCTTAAAACGATGTCGTTTTGAACATCAGTAGTCAAGGCTAAAACAATGTCATTTTGATGTGATTTTTCATGTCAACAATTGTTTGTCAATGTTATTCATTTAATTACGAAGTTATATAATTAAATATAAAATTATAATTTAATTTTTATAAAATAAAAAAATTAATAATATAAATAATTAAACAAATAAAATTCAATTATGTATGTTGTAATTTAAAAAAAAAAACCCCAAATCATCTAGGCTGTAAAGTCAAGTAAAGACGGCAAACTTGTAAGAAGATTTAAGCATGGACAAATATAGACAACGATGTCGACTCACCTTCCTCCGACAGAAAACGTCTCTGCCCAATTTTGTTGCTTTCTAAATGCTTTACCCCATAGGTCATAACGTCCAAGATGCTGCCGTTTCAAACACCAATGCTTCATCTTCTACCATCAAATTTACTTACCATTTTAACTTTTTTTATATCTAATATATTATTATTAAATTCAATAAAATATTTTACTAATTATGTTTTCCTATATATATTTGAACTGATAATGGTTAATCTTTTCATGATTTCAGATTTTTTTATTGCAAAAATTCCATTTTAATAAATTAGATATTAAATTTAATTCGATTAATACCATTGTGAATGTAATATATAAAGATATATGATCAAATATATATAAACGTTCAAAATTTTTCAATTTAAAGTTGAAAAATATATGAACAATCTAAGTATTGTATAAAATAAATCAGTTAATAAAATATCTAATTATAAATATTGTGTTAACTTAACAGATTTTGTGTTAGTTAACCTATATTTATAAACTCCTTCGAACTTAAAATTATATAAAAAATATGAATATACTGAGATTGAGAGTCATTGAAAAATATTATCTTGTACTCACTTTAGATTAATTTAAAAAAAATGTGAACTCACTGAATGATTTCATTGGTTAAAAAGAGTGTCATTCTCCTTTGAGAGCTTGGGTTCGAGCAACTACGTCTGCATGGTGTGTGCACTTTGTCAATGACAAAGAAAAATCTTGAACATATGTTATCTTATAATCACTTTAGACTATTTAAATATATATATATATATATATATATATATAATTTATAATTTTTTACAAATTTTTAATCCAATTTAACCAGACAGGAATTGTCACATTGATTGGTCAAAATCTAATTTTATTTAAAATTAAATTAAATCAAACTGAAAAACATCTAAAGTATACACACCAAAAATACTTAACATCAATAAAAGAATGTTTATAGAGACAAACATAAGGATTCTATTAATATTATTTCATTAAATATTTTAAATATAATGTTAAAATTCATTCTTAGCGCTGATAAAATAGTCAATTTGATCTTTATTTTTTAAATATTTTTATTTTTAATATTTTATTTTCAGTTAAAAATGAAAATCACTAGTGACTAAATGTCAATGTTCTACAATAATATAACACATTAACATAGATTTAAATGTTGATATGACATTTCCACAAATCATTTCCATGTTAATACTTTACTAAATTAATTTTATTTTATTATTTTTAGATGGAATACATATCGCAATCTAATTAGCTGTGATTAAATTAATTAAAACTACTTAAATAAATAATTCATTTTACTTATGTAATAAATACATGTGAAAATGTCATGCTAATGTTTTAGTCTATGTGAATGTGTTACATCAACCAACATTAACACTTAATTAATTAACAGATTTTGTTCAAAGAATGATCATTTTAACTGAAAATAAAATACTTAAGGATAAAGTGTTTCAGAAAAAATAATAAAATAACCCATCAAGTAGCTCTAATAGTTAAAATGATTGTCGTTCTCTTTAAAGGTCATGAGTTCAAGCATTTGTATATACGGATATGTGTGCTTTTTGTCTGAAAATAAAATATTGAGGGATAAAGTCTTTTAGAAAAAGATAATAAGAGAACCCTTAAGTGACCTCAGTAGTTTAAGAGATTGATATTCTCTATAGAGAATCTGAGTTTAAGTAATTGCGTCTGCGAGTGTCTATCTGTTGTCAATTGTAAAAAAAGATTAACTTATAATCACCTTAAAAGTAAATAAAATAAAATAAAATTAATTATTTTACAAAAAAAAATTAAGAACAAATTTTGATATTATACCAATGTACTCATGAATAATAAATTTTACTTCCTTTATATATATATATATATATATATATATATATATATATATATATTTAACATTCTTATATTTCCATATTAATATTTTTTTGGGTAAAGTACACAAATGATCTCCTAACTATAAAATATTATTTTGTTGAGTCCCCCAACTATTAAAAGTTACAAAATGATTATCGACTATTGGACGTTGCTTTGTTGAATCCCTCGGCTATTAAAAGTTACAAAATGATCACCCGACTATTCATTATTATTCCAAACTCGTCATTTTTCATTAAAAATTTGACGTGTCTGAGCTGGAAGTTAACATATTGACTGAGATATGATAGTTATTTAAGATTATAAGATTAGATTTTATCATATCTCAATCAACATGTTAATGTCCAGCTTAGATTATCGTCAATTTTTTAAAGGAAATGGACTAGTTTGGAATATAATGAATAGTTGGGTGACCATTTTATAACTTTTAATAGTCGAGAGACTAAAAAAACACCCAATAATCGATGAAGCATTTTATAACTTATAATAGTTAGAGGATTAACAAATCAATATTATGAAGTTGGGGGACTATTTGTGTACTTTATCCATATCTGTTATATTTTTAATCTCAAACTCTCAATAAAAAACACTAGCATTTTACATACTTGAGAGATGAATTTTAAATTTTAAATTTTAAATTCAACAATACGACATGCGAGTAATGAGTGAAAAAATGAGGAGTGATGAGCGAGCGATGGTTGAAAGGTTTAATTGCAGAGAGAGAGAAGAAAGAAGACAAAGGGATTTAAAGATTTTGCTTCATTTCAAAGTTTATACGCCATTACTGTGTTTTATATCCATCTCCAAACCTTACACTACTACCTATATTACTTGTCAATGTCGTAATCAACTCTCTCTCATTCTTGTTTCTTCATCCTCCAACCACATTTCCCACATTTTTTATTTTATTTTATTTGTTTCCTCTCCTTCACGGCTTCAAGTTAAACTCTCCATATCCACTCTTCTTCTTCTTCCATAGTTTGTCTTAAATGCTAGAAGGGCTCGTGATTATGAACTCAGTGCCAGAATAGCGTTGTGATAAGAACTGGTCAGTGCTAATATGGTAGATGAAGCTACACGTCCTTTTTGGTTTTGATTTGACTTTTGGAGACGATGAATAATACATGAAGTTGTTTCATCATTCATGGTAGCTAGGGATGGACCGAAGGGACGATTCACCCCTGAAAATCTTAAATTATTATATATCAGATATTTTGTTTGTATTTTTACTAATAATTTTTTTTTCGCTTAGAAGTTGGTCTCCTAACATATATTTATACTCCATACCTAATGGAATATACTGAATGAAATCATCTGACAGAAATGAACTCCTTCCACACCTCCTCATCTTCATCTGATTACCATATTTTTGCTCTTTTTTTTTTTTTTCATTTTTCATTTTCTGTGATCTTGACGGTTTTGAATGTTCTACTTTCTGTTCATTATCAGTACAATCGGACACTTATTTGTTATAGAAATCCTCTACATTTAAGTATTTTTCCCCCTTTACCAGTGAGTCCTTTTGCTGGATATGAGTATGTGATATAATGTAGATTATTACATCATGTTCAACTAGAATTACCTCAGCAGTGCTGAAAAATTATGCAATATTTGACTCTGAATTTCTCTTCATTTGATTCTTTTTTCTAGGCTATCATGCTCAGATTTCTGAATAAACACATCAAAATTCCCCATTGTTAGCAGTCAATACTCATCCACCCAAAAAATGGATAGGAAATTACCTAGGAATCCAGGCCTCAAGAGCCCTGTGCTGTCACCTAAAAGCCCTGCAATCTATGAAAACTACAAGTCAGGATGCGCCTGGGGATTAATTCACTGCTTCGATTTTGGCCAAGCTCATTCCCATGGCAACCTCATTTCCCTTAAGAACCGCACTAACAGGCAGGATAAAGGTAAGAGAAGCCCTTTATCTTTGGTTGAGAGTGAAATTTTCATTTCCATATAAACATCATATGAATCTATATGTTCCTTAAGGTATGTTTCTTGATCATGTCATACGCATTCTTTCAAGTTTTATAGATGCCATGTCCACCTAAGTTTAATTATTCGATTTTTCATCTGCAGGTGATGGCTATAAAAGGACTAAGCCCAGTTTACTATCTAATGAGGAGAAGCCTCAATACATTGATGTGAGATTATGAACATCCTTATATGATGAAACTCGATGCATATTCCGAGTACCATTTTTATGAAGACAATTTGTTCTTTCTTTCCCTCATTGTCTGGTGCTTCACATGCATTCGTTTTGAATTTTTTTCAGGATGCGGTTGTTGACAAGAATGTTGCAGTAAATTCTAGGAAGCGAGAAGTTAAAAATATTATGAAAGAAGAGGTGTCTGTGAAGCATCAGACAAAGAAGGAAAATGCCAATGGTGAATTGCAGAATCAACAGGTTAACACCAAACTTGTTGGTCATTCAAAGGAACATAGGAAGGCGAGCAGGAGTTTGAAGAAATCCTGTCGCTTTACTGGTTGTAGGTGTGATGCTGTGACTGAGGGGTGTAAGCAGCCTTCTGATCAAAAGCTGGTAGAGAAATCTTCAAATAAGATGTCTTCAGTGACAGAAGCATTTGACAATGATGCGGATACTACAAATGGAGGAGATCATAGTTGCAAAAACATTGGAGGAAGGAAGCATGGCAATCAGGCTGAGATTAATGTTCAAGTTAACATGAACGGAGCGGTTGAATCTTTTACAAATCAGAAGTTAACTGATGGGGAGAGCCTTAATAAAAATGAGGTAGCCAACCGTTCTAATGAATTTATTGATGCATTGGAGGTTTTGAATTCCAACAAGGAACTATTCACGAAACTCCTACAAGACCCCAATTCACTGCTAGTTAAACATATTCAAGATTTACGGGATTCTCAGGCAAAGATGCAACAACATCGATCTTCCTCCAAAGCTAAAACGTCACAGTGCCGGCCAAAAGGAGAAGATGGGTGTGAAGGGTCAGCCGATGCTCAAATGTTCCTCTCTAAGGGAGTTGACATGCCCTGGCCTTCAAACACAACAGCTGTCTTGAAGTCTGGCAAACAAAATTGTCCTTATAAAATCAGCAATTGGCCATCACCACAATCTCACTATAGCTCGAAGAAAATGGAGAGAAGTGTTAGGCCGACATTATTTTCTTTTGAGCACATGAAAAGGAAGTTGAAGCACGTGATGGCGGTGAATAAAAAAGAGCATCGCCAGATGTTCCTAGATGATATTTGCAGATCCCTGCATCAGCATGAATTTGAACAGTTCGAAGATGGTGATAAAGTAATGAGCAGGCAGGAAAATGAAAGGATTTCTGCTAGTAAAGTTGAAGAAATGTCTGAATCTTTCAACGAGATCAATAGAAGAAACTGGATAGGCCAAACAGAGAACATTGTTTCAGGCACTGGAAGCGAAGCTACTTCATCCATCGAGAGCTGTCATAGAACCTCAAATCTGCTAACCCTAACACATCTGAATGAAAAATTTCACCCTAATAAACACATTTCAGATATGTCAAATGGAGGAAATGAAGATTTCTCAAGGAAACAGAAGACACTGAAAACTTTGGATAGGTTAAGGTCTTTGCCTGAATATGACTTGTTGCCTAGAATTACTCCACAAAGGAATAAGGGACATGAGTTTGCATCTCCACAAATGAGATTTTCACCATACAACAACTATTCAACTGTTAATGTATACAAGTGGAGGGTTCAGAAAGGAAAGAAGAGCATCTGCTTAACTTCTCCCATTAATACTTTCGGAGGGCAACCAATGTCCGATGACGAGAGGCCCGAAAACCAATCGGAAGACGCAAAGAAAAGTATCTCTGGCGATTTATCTCCTCTCACCAAAGTGCTTAAAACTGTATATTCCCTTGGTGATGATTTTGGTCACAAAGGTACTTCTTGATTATGAAAGTGAAAAATGAAATTCCAATCATCATATGTTCCATATATAATAATTTATCTTATCTGAACAGGTAAACAAACTTCTGTATGTCCTCGGAAAGTCATAGAAGGAAACCATGGTGCTAGGTTCAACAAATGCGAAAGTGATGCTTTAGATGTCGCTTTGGAACTAAATGGTGAGCTGAATACCAGCATGACCCAACGAACTGAAGCAGTCAACCACTTCGGAGATAATGAATACTCTGAATGCTCAAAACTGGTAAACTCTTTTATTATACGTAAATGTTTAGGGTTTTTTCCAGTGGACTAGTGCATCAACTCTTCATCTCTTTCATTCATGCACTGTGTTTTCTCTTTCTTGTTCTCCTGTTTAAACTTTTGTCTTGTTTGCTAATTTTTTTTCCTATCCTTTCGCTTTGGTTTACTTAGAACTCACCTTCTGCGGATCAAACATCATTTTATTCAATAGATGTTTATTCATCAAGTCCTCCATTTATTCAAAGAGCAGAAATTTCTGATAGCATGAGTGATAGAGAAGAGCAGCCAAGTCCTATATCGGTTCTTGAACAGGTCTTTGTCGAAGAGAACACTAGCTCTCCTAGCACTATATCTCTAGCAGGTGAATTCATTTCGTAGAAAAATTACTTACTTATATAGAGTACACCTTTGTTTTAGTACTGAGTTAGCATCGGAATCTTGCACAGCTAAGCTACCAGCCAAACCATTTTGTATAGATATTGAAGAACACTATGCAACTTCTCTCTTGGAATCCCATTTCGATCCGAAGAATAATGCAAGTGCTTCCGAGGACAAGCAAGGATCTTTGTCTGAATGCATAAGAGAAGTTCTGCAAGTTTCTGGTCTCAATTGGGATGAGCTCTCTGGGAGATTGCATTTGTCTGACCAAATGCTTGACACATCCTTGCTTGATAATGTTGACGTATGGCCTAAGAAGTCCCCTGCTGATCGGAAGCTGCTTTTTGGCTACATAAGAGAAGTCCTTTTTGAGATATATCAACGTTATTTTCGATGCTCCCCCTGGATGTCACTTCTCAACCCGCAACCTCGACAAGCTATGTTATCAAAAAATATGGTTCATGAAGTGTTGAGACATGTTGATTGGCTCCTCCTCTCAGACCTGCCCCAACAAACATTACAGCAACTTGTTGAAAAGGATTTGAGCAAATCCGGAACATGGATTGATATCCGACTCGATACTGAGGTAGTTGTTACAGAGTTAGTAGATATCATTCTAGAGGATTTGGTAGTTGACGTTGCCATTTGACTCCAAACATAAAGCGGCACGTCTGCATTCCTGAAAATAGAGGCAGTTTTGGCACGCCAACGCAACCCGTGTTCCATATTAACTGAGACAAGATCAGCCTCTTTTCAGCTTTTTAACCTCATATCGATACGTGTTATTTCGTTGTCGGAACAGCTTGACAGCCCTGGAAGAGGTGTTTTCGCTGGTTTTGAAGTGGTCTGGTGCATGGATTCAAACTTCGGCCTTTACACTTCGTACATACATTTACATTAAACAATCCAAACAACTATCATCAGTTATAGGTTAATTTTTTCAGTTCCAAAGAGATTTCCAGTGGATTAGCCAATATAAATCAATGTTGGCTTACAGCTTGTAGTTACCAAGATATCGTTCAGCTCCCTATTTTAGATGTTTCAGATAATTTTCTTCATTCCATTACCTGTTATCCAATCCTCTCTTTATGATTTTTCATTTGGCTGATAACCGATTCCTCCTCTGTTTTGGTTTCATAGAACATAAAACCAATCTGATTGATGCAGAAAAAGTTCATATCCAAGCTTATCCTTGGTTGTACTTAATTTATTCAAGCGTGTGGTATATTTGATTTTTCGGGTACACGAGTTGGGTACTATGTATGTAATGGGAAGTCCCTTGTGATTTAATGGGATTGTCCGCGTGCGTGAGTACTATAAAATATACGCAGATAATGTGCAAGTATACACAATCGTTCAAGTAATATAATGATGAGTGAGTATCGTCTCCACAGGAATTGGGTGAAATTAAAAAAGTCTAACCAAAGCTAAGCACTAATCTATCTATGTATAGTTAGTCTTTATATATACAAATGTCACGACAAATGGAAATGTGTATGCTGATGGATGCAGATGAATGGTCTGATGGTGTAGCAGATGGATATGTAGTGGCAAGATAAGATGTTTAGTGTTGAAAATGGTGTAATGTCGAGGCAATGAAAGATGGTAAATAAACAGTAAATAAACAACAAATAAAATGAAAAGAAGATAATCCTCACGTGACAAGCTTCCAACGGAATGAATGATAGGGATTGATTTAAGGATGTTAAACTTATTCCTCATGTATATTTAAGCTATCTAATCTTTACTTGCTCGACAGGGCTTTCCTAAAATGTTCTCAAAGGAACCTAACAGAATAGGATGCCAATGCATCTGCTTTCACTCAACGATGTTGGCCAACCTACCCTATTGATAAAGACACCCTTTTTAGTCGTTGAAATCATATCCTAGTCTCTCCCGAGATCTAAGGGATTAGATTATAATATTCTTAGGCCGGTTCAAAGCCCCTTGAAAATATTATAACACATTGCTTATGAGGATATTGTCTTGCGGTTCTCTCGAATACTTACAAGTATTTTTAGCTTAGGTTTCTCCCGAATACCTAAACTTCATCTAAGAAATGAACATTTCCATGCCTCTTACAAGCCTAGATGGCGAAGCATTCATAAACAAAGCAAATAAAGAACCAAAATAAACTTAAATATACCATTAAAATAAAGTCTAAATATCCATTAAACCAACCACCACCAAATAAGTTGGTTCATGGTGGGGTTCGAAATATCCAAACAAAAAAGCATGCAAATATTCGTTCCAACAACCCACAGATAAATAGAAAAATAGTAGCAAAAAGGGAAGTGAGAAATAGCCTTCGACATGCCACCGGAGGTCTCCTCGGCCACCACGAACCACCTTAGCTCGCTAGCTCCTTTCGGCACTTAGCTCGACACTCCTTGGAGCTTTATCAATGGAGGAAAACCCAATGAAGAAGAAAAGGAAATGGAAATAAAAATCTGATTTTTTTCTGCTCTATGCGTGTGCCTCTTCACGTGTTCTAGTGTTGTCTCCCTTGAGGTGTAATATATAATAAAAATATCTATGGGTAATAGTGAGGTTTTTGGGTGCAAAATACTCCTCATACCCCTAGAATCACATATAGTGCTTTAACCTTATCCTCCAGGTGGCAGTGGTCCCATAGCAGCTCTGGCAGGCGGTTACAGCAATCATTTCACGTGTGATGCCGCGGCATTACTTCCCATCTAGTCCTTTTTGCTTGCTATTCCCTGCACACTACAGACAAACTGCACATTTCCTTCAAGTAGCATCATTAAGAAATAAAATATCACTACCACCACAAATGCAACTATATGCAACTACATGATACTAAAATGTCTAAAATGAGCTTTTAAACAAACAATAACTTAAGTGAAAAAGGCCTTAAAAGTAGCCTTTTTAGGAAGTTAACTGGGATATTCTTCCTCGTAACAAGCAAAACCTGAGACGAACACATGATTTTATATCAGGAGTGCGAATTAAAAAAGTTATAACAAAAATGAGGTATGAAATTAGATCATCAATAGAAAATATAAATAAAATATCTAAACTATAGGGAAATTTAAAATTTTCACCCCTCCTATCCCTGAGCAAAACCTCAGTTCTAACCATCAAATACTCTGTAATAAGCCAAGGTAAACTTCCCACAATTACAACACTAATATTATATGACCAAAACTCCATTTGTCAGAAAAGAACATATCCTCCCACCTACTTCCAACAAAAATGAGATTATAGAACCAGGGGGTGTCTGAACAATTCTGAATATTTGTCCATGGCAAATTCTTAGTCCAATTACAAACTTTTTCTTAATCAATCCGAAAAGGGTAGTTAGTGAAGAACTAATGTGTTTATGTGGAATCCTTAAAAGATAAGAACCAACAACTTGACATGTTCCAGCTGACTATAAAATTTGTCGGAACAAACAGCAATTTATAAACCCCAAATACCCTACACGAATCAAGCGTGGTGCCATTTATTAACTGCAAAAAAGCCTTTAGCGATAGATTTGCATGGGGAGTTATATGTTTTCAAACAATTCATGCACATAGTGAGCCATCGAGTCCCTCATCTTAAACTTCGATAACTATTTGTCTATTGACAATCTCTTTTGAAATCATCTCCAAATTTATTTCCAGGCACAATCTGTGCGACCCCAACAGCAGTATATCTAAGGATGTAATCCCATTCCTTTTTTTTCACAAGCTTGAAATTTCTGGAGAAAACTCCATAGATTCTTTCTTGAAGATGTCATCACATTTGGATGGTGGGGGTGGTGGTGGGGGTTTTAGGAAGAGAAAAAGAGGGGGTGAAAGGATATTCAAGTTCAAGAGTTTCGGCAAGAACGGTTGCCCTGTTGAGTTTGATGCTTCATTCAGGAATAACGTTAAATCACTAGTTGAATATGGGCATTTGGAGATGAATCTCTGCAACGATGGAATGTTGTGCTGGTCATTTCAGCTCGAATTCCATCGACATCCTCCGTTGCATGTACTGTTGTTCGTCGTCGAAGAACCGATTCGAGTATCATCGATCAACCTTCATTGCAAGCATTGCCGATATGTTGGTGAAGTCTAGTTCCATAATCTACTCACTAGTATTTTCTTTTCTTTTCACAGATTAGTTGTAGTTTGTTTCTTCATAAAGCACAGGCTGGGGTCACCATACGATGTGCAACAAGTACCATTTTTTGTTACCATCTAAAGACACCGTAGCTGCTTGTTTCAACTGTGATGAAACCAACTCTGATGAGTCGAATCCAGAAAAGGGTAAGCTGAATTTAGTGGAATTAAAAGGCCATACCATGCATGGTGTCTTTCATTCTAATGGATTTGGGCATTTACTATGTCAATGGCAAGGAGATGGGTTCGGATCGGTTGGCAGGCTATCAGATCACGGAATTCTGGGACCATTTATGCACTGGTTTGCAAGCCAGGTTATAATGTTTTCCATTGATCACAAATCTTGAATACTTTAATTACAACTTACGATTCAAGTACCATGAAATTCAACAATTTTCATCTGGGAAAGTGAGCTTGTGTGATACCTCAAAGAAACGAGGCATGGAATTGAGGTTGCTTTATGGAGCAGCATATGGTCATCTATGGTTTGGTCGCTGGGGATACAAATTCGCACGAGGATGTTACGGTGTAAACCAACCGATTTATCAGAAAGCCATCGAAGCAATTCAAGGGATACCTTTGTGCTTGCTAGATCATCATCTCGGCATCTCCAACAATGATGTTTCAGTTATTTGTCCGAACATTCCATGTTGATCCTTGGCGACCTGTTTCATTTCATGTTGAGGTCTCAACTTCCGCAAGAAAACACAGTCGGTTTGTGTAATCCCACAACGGTGGAGACTAACTGCAGATGGTCACCGAAGCGAGTTGAAGCGGCTACTCGGGTTATCGTTGAGGCTCTAAAAAACGCCGAGTTCAGGTGGGTTTCAAGGCAAGAAGTAAGGGATGCTGCAAGAGCTTATATTACTGACACGGGGTTGCTGGATTTTGTTCTCAAATCACTTGGGAATCACATAGTGGGAAATTACTGGGTTCGTCGTTGCTTAAACCCCGTAACTTAAGTACTAGAATATTGTCTGGAAGATATTTCCACTGTAGTTCCCAACTCGGCGGCCCTCATTATGAACAATTCCAAAGCAAAACCTAGAAGTAAGATTACAAAGGTTCAACTAATGAAAGACATTGCATATCTATACAAGCATATCCTGAAAGATCAAAAGCCAACAATGAGCACCGGGGTTCTCTCTGCAATACCGATGGCAACCAGGATAATTCTTGACACCAAATTCCTTGTTAAAGAATATACCTAAAGAATATACCGAAGAACAGCTTCCGATCCAGGGCAACTAGTTCAAGCTCTTCTGTACAGTCACATTGAAGAACAATGAAGGGATCAATGAAGGGTTTAAGAAATCAGTGCCCCCATATGAATGAGTGAATTTAAACGAAAACACTACCTTCAATGAGCTTAGACAAGAGGTGGAGAAGTGTTTCAGAGAAGTGTATTGGAGGCTGAGGAGTTTCATCGTGGAAGCCGTGGCAAATATGAGTGTGAAGGGATCGGATTTGGTGGTGGGATCGGTTGAAATGGGCCAGAAACTTGTTTTCATCGGTAGCAATGATGATCAGATAGGATCAGAGGACAGTGGTGGGACTAGGATTGTGGATTGCCTTTGTGGAGCCAAAGAGGATGACGGTGAAAGGTTGATAACATGTGATATTTGTGAAGTCTGGCAGCATACAAGGTGTGTTAGGATTCCAAATAATGAAGAGATCCCACAAGTTTTCCTCTGCAAACAATGTGAGGAAAAGATTGTGTTCGTGTCTTCTTCTTTACCCTAAAATTAACTATATATATATATATATATATATATATATATATGCATTTCAAGAACGGTTTATGTAATGATTTGTAGCCATGCTTGGCCAATGCCAATGCCAATGCCCTTTTAAATAATATAGACAAATGGGTTGCAATAATGATGAACCTTCAATGCTTCTACCTTGGGATTCTTCTCTTTTTTACTTGTC